GCCTTGCTCAGGGGCCGTGCGGTAGTTCCCCGACACCCTAAGTAAAACTGATTACCTGCATCAAACTTTGGCCCACATTTCTTATACTTAGAAGGGTCAAAAGAACATTGTCGTTCGTTTTACAGCTCACTACATTTCCACTCACATTTACGAAAGTGAAGAACTCAAACGTGTAATACACTTCCATGGCTTATGTATATCCGAGTTCAAATTCTGGTACATTGGCATCGAATTATCATAACTACGAGCAGGGACAAGTAATTCCTTAGAGCTGAGTCCTTATTCAGAAGCTAATGTTTGCTCATCTCGTCAATAACAGTTTGACGTTTCATAAAACCCTGATTTTCATTACCGTGTTTACAACAGCCCTCAGCTTGTCGTATTTCTGAGCCATTTGAAGCTGGATCACACATTTAAAACTCCTTTCTTTAAAATAGCTTTTTAATGTTATCCTTCCATCTACGTCTAGGTCTCCCAAGTAGTCTCTTACTAGAAACTGAGACCTTTAGAACTTTTAAGGTAATTGACGGACAATATAAAGCATCTTAAACCAGTGCCAGTTCTATGACCCTCTTGCGGTGGATGTCGCCCCCATAATATGACGCCGAAATAAACAGACTGCCCACGTTTCCTTTGCGAGATTTGAGGTTCTTTGAGGTAGTCTGATCCTGATTATGGAGGCAGCAGGTATCCTTGAAACACCCATAAGACAGTCATCTTCTTACAATTCACATTGATTTTAACAATATCTTATGAAATGTAAAGGTTTAGTAAGGTCAAATGACAGCTGAAGAGACGTTGTTAAAGCTGTGTAACTACGTTTCTCATAAGCTGATGTTAAAATATTGCGGCTAAAGGCTTTTAAAGCTAAGGTATACTGCAGATCGTGAAAGCGTCCCTGACAACTGGCATCCGTCATCCGTTTTATGTTCTACGACGTCTGTCAGCTGAGACGTCTAAATGGTAGAAACAAAAATGGTTGACGGTTGTATATATGAAGGAAGGGAAAGCGAAACGGCTAGTAATATTTCTATTTCGTGTATCAACATAACAGTCGAGTAAAAATATGCTATAATTAATATTATTATTATTAACGTTGTCGGCGAGTATTCCATTTAGCTGCATTCATAAAAACAAAATTTAGTATTTTTGTGATTAATGTTGTTATAATCATCGTTGTCTTTTGTTTCCATCTTTTAACGTCAGACTAAACTTCCTGGGAGTGAATTACAGTTCTTTGTCACCAGAATAATTTTTTCAATGTTGTGTATTACTTGCAATGATTTGGGCCTGGATTTTACCTCATAAGGTGAGCTATATGTCGGTGTGAAAGAATAACTTTAAATTGCGAAAATTTATAGTCCATAATGCAAAAGCGGGACCTATACTAGAGTGGTGTTTTAATTCCTGTCACACGTTTAAATGTCTCATCGTCGCCATTTTAGTCCATTCATCATCACTTTATTTTAATCAATAGACAAAATAATCCGATATAAACAGGAAGGAAATATAGAAATCTGTCCGCTAGGTAGCAATCAAAATTACCCACTTGCTACGTGGAAAATAATGTTTTTCCCTAAATAATCTATCATAAAATTAAAATCTCTCTGCCTCTCTCAAGTTTATACTTCATACCTTCAGAAAATCTTCACTTTTAAACTGTTCTTATCAGAAGGACGAACAGGCAAAGTCTGAGAACCTTCTAACGAAGTGATGCTCTGCTCCCATCCCCGAAATGAAGTTTTCGTTAATTCTCCCACGATTTACATCGCGCTTTCTCTTCTAATATGTTTTTAATTCTCTCTCTCTCTCTCTCGTTCTTCGCAGGTCTAAGCCACACTTGGACAACCGCTGAGCCACGGATTACCCACAAACCTAAAGAAAGCCTAAATTGAAAATATTGTTTCTTTTTGTTTTTTTTTCAG